CCTATATTCAGGTTCACTGATTCTTTATTCATTCTGCTTAAATGTACTTTTGAATCCTTCTAATAAAATTTTCATATCAATTATTGTAGTTTTAGCTCCAGAATTTTATTTGATGTGATTTTATATTTTTAACCTTTTTATCTTTGTTTTCATTTTGTTCATACATCATTATATTGACTTTCTCCATATCTTCCTTTCATTCTTTTAGTATCTTCAAGACAGTTGTTTTAAATTCTTTGTTCACCTTCTTTCTCAGGGGTAGTTTCTGTTTATTTTTTAGTGAGTGTGTCACACTGTCTTATTTCTTTGTATGCCTTGTGATTTTTATTGAAAACTGGACATTGGAATATTTTAATATAGTAACTCTGGAAATCAGATATTCCCCTTTGCCCATGGTTTGCACTGTCCGTGTGGGGATTCACTCTGAGGTGTAAACTTAAGGTCTTTTTGAGCCTACATTCTTTCCTGGGCATGTACAGAAACTCAAAACTCCTTTCTATAGGTGGCTGCTTTTGAATAGCGTAGTCTCTAAATATTTGGCTCCTAAGAGGAGAAAAAGAAAAAAGTGAATAGGGGTAATAAAAGAAAATAAAAAAGCTCTGGCCCTTTAAATTTGGAAGGCACTGTACCTGGAGGGGGAGGAAGTTGCTACAATGGCTTCCCACTTTTGTGTCTGCCCCTCTATGATTAGAAACAGCAATGGCTGATCAGAGCATAGATTCTGATATTTGGAGAAGGTGATACTTACTGTCCACCTTGGGTCCTGAGAGCTGTGTGCATGTTGCTCTGGGTTTGTTCCAGGAAATGCACAGGGCTGGCTACCATGAGGTTGGGAGGTGAAGGATGTGTAGCCATTACTGTGATAAGTGCTGAAATTACTGCACTAAAGCTCAATTCACCAACCAAGTCTTTCCTGGGCAGTAGCAACATTCAGTAGACCCTAGGATTCCAAAAGAAGTGCATCTGGCAGATTTAGCCAGCGCAGTTGCTGTTTAGGTGAGGAGATGAGTTCCTGGTGCTTCTTACTAGACCATCTTCTGGGAGCCCTCTCTAATTTTTTTCTTTTGGTCACACTAACAATTAATTATTTTTGATCATTTCAAAGAAGTTTCATTGTTTTTCTCTGTTTTTAATATATTTTATTATTTCTGCATTGATTTTGTTATTTCCTTTCTTGTCTTACTGTGTGATTTGCTTTTCTTTTTTCTAGGTTCTTGAGGTAGAGACTGATTATTTATTTTAGATCTTTCTCTTTTTCACTAGAAGGGTTTGCTGCTGTAAGCTTCTTTCTAAGCATTCTTTGGCTGCATTCCATACATTTGAAAGTGTTTGTTTTCATGATTTTAAATTGATTTCTAATATTCCTGTATTGTTTATGTTAATTTGGACCTAATAATACTGAATTTTCTCAGCTTTTGCTCTTCTGTGAATGTCTTTTTATTGCCATTATTTAAAAAAATAACTCCATCAAGGCATATTTTCATATTGTATAATATACCCTTTTCAAGTGTACAATGCCATAGAGCTGTGGTTGTTTTAGTAAGTCGTACAACATAACCATGAGTACCGTTTACACCATTTTGGTCCCCCTGTGTCCTTCCTGCCTCGAATCCACTGTTGATCCCCACATCCTTCCCCATCCCTGCTCCCTGCCTCAGGCAAACACCAATTTTTATCCTAAGAACTTCTCTTTTCTGGACGTTTTATGAAAATGAAATCATACAATATGTGATCTGTTGTGTCTGCTTTCAGTGAGCAAAAGGCTTTTGAGGCTTGTCCGTGTCATAGCATGTCCCAGTAGTTCACTGTTTATAATTGCTGAGTAGTAGTGGATTGTGTGAACATACATTGACTTTTGAACAAAGTGTGGGTTAGTGGTGCCGACTGCCTGTGAAGTCACAAATCTGCCTGTAACTTAAGTGAGCTCTCTGCAACTACCAGCTGACCCTTGCACAGTGTGGGTTTGAACTGTGTGGGTCGGTTGAACTGTGGCCATTGAACTGCGTAGGTCAGTTGAAAACTATGTCCGTGTATAAAGTGGATGCGTGCACTTCAAACCTGTGTTGTTCAAGAATCTACTGCCCTACATTAGGTTGTTTCTAAGTTTTGGCTGTTATGATTAGTGCTGCTAAAAACCTGTATACAAGCCTTTGTATAAATATATGTGTTCACTTCTCTTGGATGTACACCTAGCAGTGGAGTTACTGGGTCATGTGGTAAATTCATGTTTTTCACTTAAAGAATTAACACTTTTCTAAAGTGACTGCACCATTTTTATGTTTGTGCTGGTCATTATAAGTGTTCCCGATTCTCTATATCCTTGTTGATATTAGTTATTATCTATCTTTTTTATTTTTGCCGCCCTAGTGACTGTGAAATGTAATTCTCTGGTTTTAATTTGCATTTCACTAATGAATGTTAGTGACAGGGAGCATGTTTTATGTGCTTACTAGCCATTTGTATATTTCTTTGAGTAAAAATGTGTGTTTAGATTTTTTTACCAATTAAATTATTTTTTATCTTTTGTTGACTAGCAATAGTTCTTTATATATTGTGGATACAAGCCCCTTATTCTATATAAGACTTACAGATATTTTCCCCTCATGCTGTGGGTTGTCTTTTCACTTTCTTGATGTCATTTGAAGCACAAGGGTTTTTAATTTTGATGGAGTTCAAATCTTTATGTATTTTTTCTTTTATCAGTTTGCTGTAGGAGTCAAATATAAGAAATCATTGCCTAATCCAAGATCATAAATATTTACACCAGTGTGTTCCAAAGAGTTTTATAATTTTAGCTTATATGTTTAAGTCTTTGATGTATTTTGACTTAATTCTTATATATAGGCTGGGCAAAGGAGGTTTACAGTTGTTTGTATGGAAAATAGTACAATAATAAATATTAATACAAGAATAATCTTTGTGTTTCACATATTCACAGCTGTTCCTCTACTTTTGCTAACAACTGAGCGGTGTTAACTGGGGTGTAACTTTTTCTTTCTGGTGGATTTTCATTTTTACAAGTCATTTACTAAAAAAAGACTTTTATTTGTCTACTGAATTATTGTGGAAACTTTGTCAAAATCAATTGACCAAAAATATAAGGATTCTTTATGGTCTCTTAATTTCATTCCATTGATCTGGTGGCTGGCCGCATGCCAGGACCCACTGTCTTCATTGCTATAGCCTTGGAGTGTTTTTGCAATCAGAAAGTGTAAGCCCTCATATCTGCTCTTTTTCAAGGTTATTTTGCTCTTGTGGGCCCCTTACAGTGCCACGTGATTTTGGGAGTCCACACAAAACCTGGTTCACACAAAACCCAGCTTGACTTTTAATAATGATTGAATTGGGGTTAATTTGGGGAGAGTTGCTATCATAACAGTATTGAGTCTTTCAATCCATGAATAAAGGAATATCTCCCCACTTGTTGACCTTTAATTTTCCTCAGTAATGTTTGTGATTTTTTAGTGCATGCATCTTAAACAGCTTTTATTGTATGTATTTAAATATATTTTCCTCTGATGCTGTTGTGAAAGACACTGTGCTTTGTATTTCATTTTCTAACTGTTCATTTATAGGACTAGAATGGGTTTTTGATCCTGTGTCTTGTGACTTTGTTGTGCCTGTCCAGTAGTTCTAATTTATGTGTGTGTGTGTGTGTGTGTGTGTGTGTGTGTGTGCGTTCTTTTGGACTTTCTGAATGCAGGATTTTGTCATAGGCCAATGAGTAAAATTTTGGTCCTCCCTTTCCAATTTGGGTGACTTTTTCCCTGTCAGACGGCAGCACTTAGCAACCCCCACACGATGTCGAGACAGTGGCGAGAGCAGGTTTACTTAGCCTTGTTGTCTCTTTCAGGAGAAAGACCTCTTTCACCTTAAGTATGATGTTTGTGTAGGCGTTTAACCTTTAATTATGCTGAGGAAGTTCCTTTTTATTCTGTTTATTGAGGAATGCTTGCTTGAACTAATTATTTCTGTGATTATCTATACTTACTCCTACTTCTTTCCCTACTGTTCATTACATGGTAAACAAAGACTGTAAATATATATCGTAGTAGCTTTGGACTATGTTACACACTTCCTCTAAACACTTTAAAGTTTTCTTCTGGTAGACAGAGAAATTGCTAATGGACCACTTGGATCCTTTCAAGGCCATGTTCAAGGGCAGACCGATCTCAACTAAGATAAATGCGCATGTTGCAGCTGCTAGTTCTTCCTCCTGCCCTCATGTTGGTCTCCTTCACCATTTTTTCTTGATAACCTGGTGTAGAGAATTTTTTTCCAAACTAAAATCACCACACCGTTTTCTGTCTTCATTTTCTTCTCCAAAGATCATAGATAAGTGTCCCCTTCCCCTGAGGCTGCCATGCTGTGAGGATGCCCCAGCTGCACGGAGAGGCCGTGTGTAGGTGCTGTTTTGATAGTTGCAGCCTGTGACTATTAGAGTGTCCTCGATAAGGCCTAGACATGGTGGAGCAGAGACGAGCCAGCCCCGCTGCTGTGTCCTGTCTGAATTTCCACCTCACAGAATACATGAACATCATAATTCCATTATTTTATCATTAGGTTTTGAAATATGTTGTTACATGGAAATGATAACTAAGACAGATTTTGGTGCCAGAATGAAATGCTGCCATAGGTTTAGACTCAGCAGTGGGCAGAACCTGGAAGGGCCTTGAAGAGAGGAAACCTGACAGGCCTCAGAGAGGCCATCAACGAGGGCCTTGTGGAAGTTGGAGAGGATGTTGGAAGCTGGAGGAAAGGAGGCTGGAGACCTTTATTAAATATAGTGAGGAAATTTAGGAAAATTGCCATGGCCATAATATGGAAGGTTGAAAATGTACCTATTGAATAGAGAAACCAGGCTGCAGAGGTCTCCAGCTGATGACTGTGTGCCTCCTGGTTCTTCTGTCTCTTTGAGTGAATTCCTGGGAAGTTGTGCTATGCTAGTCCCACAACTGCATGTTGGGTGGGTGTGGCTAATATGCCACTCTGTTTCATAGGTCTTCGGATCAAGAGGAACTCAACTGAGAATCCAATGCCGGGGAGCCTAATCTGCCCTTGGACCTGATTTAAAGGATGAAGTGTGAACTGTGCCGATGGCATAATGGACTGAGACTCTGGGGGTTCTGGGGAGGGGGCAGTGTATTTCTCATGTGGGAATGATGTGAGTTGTTGTGGCCACAGGGGAGACTATGCTACACTGTATTCTCCAAAGATGGCCACTGTAATATTTCTCACCTCACAGGCTTTCATCTAGTGCGACCTTACCATGCCCCATCAAGAGGTCTGATGGGTCTGGGCTGGCATGTGGCTCTCCTGATCAAAGCAGAGGGTCAAAGTGATGCCATGTGACCTTATGAGGCTGGGTCACAAACAGTGATGGCAGCTTTCACCTCTCTCCCACCTGGTGCCCTGGCCCATCACGCAGGGAATTCAGCTGCCACACCCAGGCTGGGAGGAAGCCCCAGCCACACAGGTAGACCAGGTATAAGGACCCAGCTGGACAGCTGCCTGCTGTTCTGGACCCCAGCTGTCTGAGGTGCCCTTGCTGAGGCCGTGAGCATCAAGCAGAGAGGAGCCAACTTCATCCTGCCATTCATGTCCACATTCCTAAGCTATAGGATCCAGGAACCTGATAAAATAGTTGTATTTTATACCCTAAGCTTTGGGGTAGTAACTGGAACAACCACATTATAAGACTCGTTAGACCTTTTAGTGTTAAAGTGGCTTCATAATGAGTAAAGTAGGAGTTTAAATGAAAAAGTTGATGATACACATTTTAGCTGTCTAGTGTCTTGCTTATTTATTCATTTATTTGGTTTTAGGGTACGAAGTTATATGGCTATTTGTGACTTCTAGATCGTTGATGTGTGACTGCACATTAGTTTGTACTGGTTTATTTGTAAACTTTACATTTAATTGGTATTTTGTTCTCCTACTTGATGGAAAACTCAATAAATATAATAATCCTTTTAGTTTGCCTCTATATTTTCCACATAACTGATATGAGGTAAATGCATATTGATTGACAGCATTAAATTTTATCTTTTCAGAGGACATATGTCAGAAGCTTTAAAAATAATGTGAAATGTTATAGATGCTTTAAGAAATGGGGAATTGTATATCAATATTAACTCCTACTAATAAGGGTTATAGTCTATCTTCCAAGGAACTCCATTCCTGGTAAACTGTACATCTATTTGAATAGTTTTACGTGGTAAAGATTGGAGATAAAAAGAACAAATGTTTCTAGCAGTCAAGAAAATGTTTGTATAATTTCTTGGAGGGTTTTACTGACACCTAGTGGCAGTCAGTCCCGTATGGTTTCAATTCCTGTTAGCTTTGCTCTACTCATCCATCCATGGCTGTCTTCTCTTGATTTTTGACTTTTTTTTTTTAAGGAAAAAAGATATTTCAGGTGTCTAAAGTGAGACTAGCAATTTTGAGGGTGTATATTATACCTATACCTTATATATTGTAATTTAATACAGATGAATAAATATGATCATGTCATTCATTCTTCAGTGTAGTTTGTTTCCTGCACTTCTTTTTTTACTTGATTTGCTTGTTTTTTCCTACCTTCCTCCTTGTTCCATTTATGCAATTTCTCTACCCTTGCCTTAATATGGGCTGTGGTTACAGTCCAGATTTTCCCCATGTGCATCCCTCTCAGTGCATGAATGAGTAAAATTATGTAAATACGCATATTCGTGTTATATGTTTTAGAAAAGTAAGACCATGCACAATTTTATACATTGTGCTTTTCTCACTTAACACATCTTTTTGAAATCTAAGATATGTAACACAGTTCTAATTATTAATTTAAATGTATGCATAACTTTTAAAAGCACGGGTGTGTTTCAGTTGTTGTTGTCAGCGACTTCTCTGTTGAGAGCCATTGTCTTTGCGGTTCGTGCCTCCCTGACTGCAGCGGCGAGCGGCGCACCCCTGTGCCTGTCCACCCAGCACCGTGTCACTTGGTTTCTCTGAGGTAGCCCTTCAGCAGTGAGGCTGGTGGGTAAAGGAATGTGTTTTTAGTTTTAATAGATGTCAACAGATTGCTTTTAAGAGCAGGTGAAATTTCAATCAACTGTGTATGAAAATACCTTTTCCCTACTCAGCATTAGATTTTACAGTATTTGGAACACTTTTTCCTGCATAAGAAGAGTGAAGTGATTTATTAATTTGAATTTCTTGATTACTAGAGAATTAGAATGTTTTATGTTTAACTCTGAACTTACTCTTTTATGAATTTTAGAATGACGACTTTTGCACTTTGTATGTTAACCCCTTGCTTATCATTCAGTTTACAGATGTTTACATGGAAAAAGATAAAACAGAGTTTTAACACTTCATACAATTAAACACGTCCGTCCTTTGTTTCTGAAACACTTTGAGTTTCCCAGATAAAGTTAAGAAAGTCTTCCTCGCAAATGGGTTATATTCTTTTAGGGACCTCACCTTCCTTTTTTATTTTACAAAGTTTTTATTGTCCAAGTCTTACATTTAAGTCTTGCTTCATTTGAAATTTAATTTTTTAAATAACTTCAAAAATATACATATACAGTAAGTATACATACACACAGTAAAAAGCAGCATTAAAGAATTATTATGAAGTGAACACCGATCAGTCATTCCAAATAATTCTTGTTCCTTCTTAATTACTAAGCCTGCGTTACTATCTCCATCCTGCTTTTCTTCGTATTTTGCCTCCTAAACTGAATCCCTAAACATCGCAGTTCAGTTTGTTGGTTATTAACTTCCATATAAATCATACATAAAATATGTGATTGTTATACTGTATTTTTCACTTAACACTTTGTACGTGTATCCACATCGCGCTGTGCACAACACTTCGTTCACGCTCCTCGCTGTATGTTACTCCGTTGTGTGCGTGAGTCTTTGCGCCCTTGGTGGGTATGTGGGTTGTTTTCAGTTTGTGGCTCTGGAATAACGCTGCTGAGAACACCCTTGTGCATCATACTCGATACTTTTTGTGCATACTTTTCATTTGAATACGTGCTTCAGAGAGAAACTGGTGGCTCATACGGCACCTAGATGTCCCACTAGGGTGGGTCAGTAATCCCTGCCCAGAGTTTCCCAAAGTCGTCCCACCGGTGTGCATTTCTGCAGCCGTGGGAGTTCCAGTTACTGTGTCTTCACCCCCGCTGAGCGCTGCCCCTTTCTTGTTTGTCCTCGTCATTCTTAGGGGTAGATATGGGTGTCCTATTGTGGTTTTAGTTTGGATTTTTTTGATAACTACTGAAGTTGAACACCTTCTCGTGTTTATTGGTCACTTAATGAAGACTTGCTGTTTCTTGGTCACTTTTGAATGAGGTCACTTCCTCATTGATTTATTAAAATTCTTTATATATACACATTTAAATACAGGCTCTTTGTTGTCAGTATCTTGTCCAGTGACTGGCTTGTTCTTTTGTCATAGTTAATTATTATTTTTTGATTAACAGAAACTCAATTTTAGTTCAATTTATAAATTTATTTGATTTAATGCTTTTTGTGTCCTGTTGAGGACATCTTTATACCCCTAAAACTGATGAAAACAGTTCCTAGAAACACTTATTATATTGCTTTCAAACTGAATCTGCAATTCAGTTACACCTAATTTTTATGTAAGACTCAAGAAATGGGTCGATACTCATTTTCGTTACATACAGACACTCAATGGGCCCAGGTAGCATTTATTGAAAAAGGCCTCGCTTACCCCAGGGCATCGGCGTCTCCCGCACTGTGTTCAGCGTTCGCCAGTTCTACGCTAGGTCCGGATGCATGCCGGTATGAAATCGGTGGCGTTTTTGTTGTTCTTTGGGTTGCCTTAGTCCTTCTTCGCTTTTGCATTTCCATAAATACTTTAAAGTTAGCTTTTTAATTTTCTACAAAACTATGCTCTTATGATTTTCATTGGGATTTTATTAAATCTATACATCATTCAGAAAAGCGTTAACAGCTTTATGATAGCGAATCTTCCAGTGCGTGATTATGACATGTTCTTAGATTTACTTAGGACCCTTAAAATTCTTTGAGAAATACTTTATAATTTTCAATATATCCATCTTGTGTATCTTTAATTAGATATATTCCTCAGTGTTTGATATTTTAGATGCTATCGTTGATGGTATAAATTGATTTTAGTTCATTTTACTTTTTTATATTGATCTCATAGCTAGTGATCTTGCTAAATTCATTTATTAATTTCCAATACAGCTGTTTCTAAAAATTACTTTCTTTTCCTTCTTGTATCTTGAAATTTTATTTTCTTGCTTTAATGTGCTCAATTTTTGAGAGCATCCTTGTAACATTCCCAGTCTTAGAAAACCTCTTAATATTTCACCATTAAATATGATGTATGCAAAATTCACCTTTATATGGTATTTAGGAGGTCAAGGAAGTTTCTCTTAATTTTAGTTTGTTTAAAATTTTTGGTATGAATGAGTATTTAATTTTATCAAATTAATATGATAATGTGATTTTCCCCCCCATTTTTGTGGTTTATTCCATTGTTTTATTTAAAAATATTAAATCAACCTTATATTTGTGGACTATACGTTACTCAGTCATGATGGGTTTTAATTTTTGTATTTTTCCAAATTTAATTTTTTTAGTTTCGTGTTTTTACCTCTGTAATCATTAGAAAGATTCGTCTACATATTTTCTTTTAATAACTTTTGGGGTTTTGATGTAAAGCCTAATTTGGTCTCAAAATTGAATTAGAAAGTATTTATTAATTTCTATCTGTGAAAGACTTGTCATAAGATGTTACCCTTTTTTGTGTGTGGATGTGGTGTTAGGTTTGACATAGCTAACGAAAGGATTTAGGTGACAGGAAGATATGTTAGTAGAAAAGATGTACACTGAAACCCAGAAAGTGAAAAAGATGGAAAATAAAGAAAATGCCATAGAACAACTGTGCCCAAGTGAAAACTTCTCATGTGAGTGTGGTTGGAATCAGGGGGAAGAAAGGAGAAAGAGTGGGTGGAATTAATATTTAAAGGTACAGTGACTGACAATTTATTAAACCTTCCAAATCTAGCTAAGGATTCAAAAAATATAAATCTTAAACTGGGTGATTACAGACCACAAAGAAAAATGTTCCAGACATATTACAGAAAAAAAATTTAAAGAAAAAGTCATTAAAAACAGCCAAAGGAGAAAATGCACATTACTATGAAAGGAAAACAAATAATTCTTACAAATTCTCAACAAAGTCTCAAGGTAATGGAAAGACATCTTTGGAAGTCTGAAAGAAAACAACTATTCTAAAATCTATACCCAATGAAAATTTTCTTTAAAATTGAATGGAAAATATATTTACAGACAAAAATGATAGAATTCCTCTTCTTAAAGCATGTGTTAAAAGAAGTCCTAAACAAGTTCTTCACAAAGAATTAGGAAGATCCGAGAAGGAAGCACAAAAAGGCAGGATGCAGTGAAGGCTTAAATAGTGCTTTAATTCTACTATCGAAGTAACAGAGCATAAGACTGAAATGTACGACAGCAGCACCACAAAAGCAGGAGGTGGGAACAGAGTTAGCTGTGCTACCCCGAAGTCTGAGAAGTAAAAAAAAAAAAACGAACGTAACTCTACTAGATCATAGACACATGTGATAGTTTTCTAGGTGCCATTAAAGGAATTGTGAGTGAATACACAACTCTAGTTAATAAAAAAATGCAATAAAAATAAATTGACTTACTCAAAAGAAAACAGGACAAAAACAGGTAGAACAAACTGAAATCAAATGGCTATATGGTGTATATATAAGTCCTAGTTACATAAATGTCAATGGAATAAACACTCCATTAAAAAGAAAAATATAATCAGACTGGAGGAAAAGAACTAAAACTAAGATAGCTGTACCAGTTTCTAGTCTCTAGATGTAAAAGGGCAAAAGGGCTTTTTTCCCCTCCTTATTCTTTTTTTTTCCTCTCCTTATTCTTGCTGACCCCTGGTATAACTTGACTTCTCTATTTTTGCTTACACATACTGTGAATTCCCTCTATTTGTAGGGACTGCTCAGTCATAAAAAATGTTTGCATTTTGTTTCTTATATCCCATTTTAGATAGATTTTTTTCCCTCTGATACTGAGATAACTTGGGCCTTTTGAGCCGGCACAGAAGAGATGAAAGTTTTACTGGGAGACTTTTACTGGGAGACAGTACGCTTTCATGTGACCGTTTCATGACTGCCCAGATCAGGAACACAAGGAGGAAAATCCCGGGCTACCTGGCTGCCTTATTTTTGTCCTCCAGACTGAACTCATCATGAACAGCTTCCCTAATCCTGTGCTTGGAGATTACCTAGGTGCCCACTTATAAAAATCCCTCCTCTCTCACACTCTGTCACCCCAGTCTGAAGGAAGAGGCTCAGTATCTGACAAAGGACTGGTAAATGTTTTTTAAAAAATTAACTGTTGGTTCAGCAAAT